GAAGACTTAAAATTTAGCGCTTCTCGGGAGGCAACCCGAGTTTATTGTTTTTCGTAGTTTTCTTTGATTTTTCGTTTCGTTTTTATTTTCATAGGCATGCATTCTAATTAATCTATTTGAATTTTAATTTTCAGGGTCGAAAACATGGTCAGGGGGTCCAGACGGCCGTCCGAAATTGCAAGCAAAATCTCAGACGGCCGTCTGGGAAACAGAAAGCCCCAAACGGCATCATTGCCTGTGGGACGGCCGTCCGAAAATAAGGCACAAACATGGGACGGCCGTCTCGTGAACAATGGGGAGACAGAGATGTCGGACGGCCGTCCGAAAATCAGCACAAAAACCGGGACGGCCGTCCGACGATTTTTAGGGCGTTTTAACTTTAAAAAATTAGATTTTTTCCCCCATTATTTCCTAAACCCTCCTCTTTCCTTCTCTCAAACTCCCACACACAAATGGAAGCTAGAGAATCGAACCAAATTCTCCAAAATCTACTCTTTCAAGGCACGCCCACAAGGTGTTCGACAAATTGCCTCAACCAAATTTGGAGGTCGATTCTCATCCAATTTTTACCGGCACCCATTCTTGAGCCCGTACCCGAGCTTTCCGATGAGGACGAGCGTGAGAGAGCGAGAGAGGAGCACCCCGATCACATCGACTCCGAATAAATCAGGTGTTTTCTATCCTTAAAACTTTGTGCTAATTTCGTTGAGGGCAACGAAAATTTTAAGTTTGGGGGTGAAAAACTTGTTTTTGTGCTTATTTGTTTTAGTTTGCATGCATTAGGTTTTATTCGTTTTTATTGTTTTTCTCGTTTTTCCGGAATATATAAAAAAAAAAAAAAAAAAAAAAAAAAATTGCTTGAGTCGAATGCATCGATGATTTATGATGATGAGAGATGATCAATGTTTGATGATGAAATTGCTTGTTTTATGTGATAAGGATTTGATGTTTGTTTAGCTTTCGATTCAACGGGACTTAGAAGCGAATTATTGCTAGGAATCACATTTTGTGCATTGCTTTTGTTGAATGTTTTGTATTTTAAATTTGGAATTAATTTGTGCTAGATCATGCTATGTTCGGTTTTAAGACTCACCTTAGGAAATTTATGATACGAAGTATTGAGTAGTAAGTGATTTGGGATATGATTTGGGCCTTCTTTGAACCGTTTGAGCCTTTCAAGCCGACCTTTTTATCGAAATTCCTTAGAACCTTGATTTGAGCCTCGGAGAAAAGGTGTTCTTTCTTTTAGCCATGTGTATAAGGTAGAATAGGTGGAGATTCTTGAAAATTACCCCTTGGAGTTCGGTCGAAATTTTTATAAGGTCCTTCTTCTTCGAAAAAAAAGAGAAAAAAAAAAAAAAAAAAAGAAAAAAAAAGAAAGAGAAGAAGAAGAGACTAGAAGGGAGAAATAAGGACTAGTTGTTGAATTTTTTTTGAAAACTCGATCCATTGTCTCAAAAGCAAAAGTGGAGACTTTTGAACTTTTGAGAATCGAGTTTATTAAAGTCCGTAGAGGTGAATTCATTGTTTCAAACGCCTATCTTTCAAATTTTGGCGTAATCACCTAAATTCAAGAATAATAGCCACATATACCCATATTTCCTACCTCAAACCAAAGAGCCTAACAATTGAAAGCCACAAAGCCCCAATGATCCCAATAGCTTAATGTTCGATATTAGTAGAGTAGAATAATTTGGTGAGTATTTGGAGTCAAGCATATGCATGTAAGTATAAATTCTTTCTATCTTTAATTTGCAAATATTGGATGCTTGAAGCAATTGTATGAATTGTGGTTTTTGGTAATGGTGAGTGACTAAGTGTTGTTGAATTTTGAGCCTGCGAATGCCTAAGAATTGTCATTATAATTACAAGTTCTGAAAACGTGAAGTTGATCATTGATCTATGTGATGAGATGTTATCGTTGAGTTATTTGCTTATTGGTAGATTTTGCTTGAGGACAAGCAAAAGTTCAAGTTTGGGGGTGTGTTAAGTGTATATTTTTACACATTATCGTACCTTTTTATTTGGGCTTTTGGTGTGTTTTAACGATAATTGGTGCTTAAAAAGTTGATTTATTGTATTTTAGGTACAAATTGAAGAATTGGAAAAGTATGGGGTCAAAACTGCAATTTTGGCGAAAATATGGGCCAAAAGTGAAAATATCAAATTTCAGAAGATTTAATGCTGAGACCCCCGTCCCAGTTTTGTGCAAATCATGGGACCCCCGTCCGAGAATCCGAAGTTGCGCAGTAAAGGAATTTTAATTGCACAAGGAAACTGCCTTCTTCCCCAAGTTCTTCACCCTATATAAGACCAAGTCAAGCACACAATTGAGGATCAATCTTTTTAGGCAAAATCAAGAGCAAAGAAGATCAACGAAGATTCAAGCATAGTTTTTTCTTATTTAATTTATTTATTTTATTTTATTTATCATAAGAATTACGAGTAGCTAAGTCTTTATTTCTAGGATTTTATTTGGAACCCTATGTGAAATTTATGAACCCTTTTCTATGATTTTATGCAAGTTTTAATTCCGGATTATTTCTTCTACTTGTTTTATTAAGTGCATGAACTTGATCAACTTATGTGCTTTTATGTTATTGTTAATCGCATGAATCGGAAGATCGGGTTAATAATTAGAACGATGGTAGAAGAGCCTTTGTGGTATTAACATAGGAATATAGTTAATCTCTTAGGTAGCCATTATTGAGATTTGTGCTTAATGCTGTGTTCTAGAATTAATTGCATAGGAATATAGTAATTGAGTCTAGAGTATTAGAATCGTAATACACGCGGAAGCGGGTTATGATTATTTTAGCATCTCAGGTTGATAATCCGGGTTAATAACTTGCATAATTGAAGGAATTGGGGGAATAATAATCACATAGGAGGAAGAATAAAATCCTAGGCTTGTCTACTTTGATTAATCTTCGTGTTTAAATTACTTTCTTGTTTTCGCGTGCTTTTTAATTTAGTTTAATTTAGTTAATTCTATCTAAAATTCGACTGTGTACGGTGGGCTTGATAATAATTGGTAGAATTTAGCGTCTAGGATTAAGTAATTAAATATTCCCTGTGGGTTCGATATCCGGACTTAATTGTCCACTATATTACTTGTACGATACGTGTACTTGCGTGTAGGTTTTCGACCAACACCCGGCTTCAACGGCGGTTGACCAACGGTCTCCGGTGGTGGCGGGTCAAAATTGGGGTCAAAATTGAAATTAGGGTTAAAATTGGTTTAATTTGTGAAATTGCGCTAAATTGGGGTGTAAATCATGAAATTGGAGTTGAATTGGGTTTCAACGAATTGAGTGTAATTTTTTTAATATAAAAGGATTTCCCTTATTTGTAAATAAGTTTAAACAAACTGGATTTTTTGAAAGACAATAAAATTGGATGTCCCTCTTTGAGTTAAGTGCCCTTGTCATGGGCCCTTTTGAGATTAACCCCATTAAAAACATAAAAAAAAAAAAAAAGAGTCAAGGCGGGAGACCGGTTGTCAACGCCGGCGACGGTCAAAATTGGGTTATGGGTCAAACTTGAATAATTGGTAAAATTTGGGGTCAAATTAATGTTAAATTGGATTATATAATGACATTGGAGTGTATTATAATGTGAGAGGTATTTTAGTCATTTACATACCTCTGAACATTGTCTGGACTTTTTTGTAAAATAGTTTTTGGTTTGGATCCTTTGATGAATAAGTAGCCCATGGAGGGCTTATGTATAATAAACTCTTTTAACAAATATATCACATTAACCCTCATTTTCACAATTTCTTGAAAAAAAATTATGAACTTTTTTTTCCAGTCACTGATTAGGATTGCCTGCCGAGCTCCGACTTTGATTTTTCTATTTTTTTTTTCGACGGGTGAGATGTTAACTGTTCTCCGATATTGAACTTTTTTTTGGTTAATGTTTTTTGCTAAATGTTTATATAACTAAATAAATTGAGGGTTCTCATTAAAATGAGAAACCGGATGTGTCGATCCTTATTTTTTTATTAATGAAGAAATCTGTAACTATATATGTGAACTGGATAAACCTAGATGGTCAATTAATACAAACTTACTTACTCCAACCAATAGATTATCTAGTGGGGACAGTCCATCCTCATTTACCTAACCCCTATTTAATATAGCATTACAACTGTTGATTTATATGCCTATAGAAATCAGATGATCTAAGTTGTAACAGTTAAGTTGTGGAAACAGTATTCAGTTACAACTGTAAATCTTGTGTTGTCACAGTTATACTCTACTTAAAGTAAATAAACAGAACACAAGAATTAATGTGGTTCAGACACAATAGTGCCCTACATCCACGTGGACCTGCAAACACGATTTCACTAGTTCAGATTTACAGTGTACATTAATAGGACTTATTAAAAACACTAAAGACTCCCTCTTTATGTAATATGCCGTTCTTGTACACAACTCGAACTTCGTGTTTCTTCCAACAGCAGCTCCACACCGCGTGCCTAGAACTCCTTTCTGGCCTGAACTCCCTTCAGTGACGCGGTTGATCTCCCAAGAGATCTATACAGCCAATCTGTATATGTTGACACATCCAACGATGGCACAGTTCTGTTCAGCAGAACGTTTCAGCGATTCTTCAAAGCAACGGAGTGATTTTTCTCCCAACAAAAAGTGTCACGGTCTTTGTGAGGTGAGGAGCCTTATATAGGCGTGAGATGGGCCTCCAAAGACCTGTCTTCCAAAGGAATCGAATAACTAGGAAACAGAATCCTAGTCAATATCTAGTTCTAATCTAGATAACCATAAAAGATTCCTAACAAGAATGAAGTACTAGAAAATAAATCTAAGTCCTAAAGTATTACAAAGGTAGGACTCTAAATTTCCAAAATAAACATGGGAACAAATCTTTAGCCAATCTTTACTTCCCAAGTGAGGCGGATTTCTTCCTTCGTGGAAATCTGGCGCCAACAACAACATCTTCTAAAATTTACGAAAGTAAGAATTGGATTTTGAAAAGTATACATAAATTCTTTTAAAAAAATCAATGAAGACAAAATTGACTGCATTTAATAAAAGGAAGCTACGACGACGATGGGTGTGGTGTGGTCCTAGTAGTGAATTAATTATTTTCTCAATTATTGTAAGAAGACAAAAAAAAAAAGAAAAAAAAAACAGAATTCGACTATTCACACTATAGTCTTCTCTCCCCCATCATATGATGAGTGATTCATCATATTCTGCAACCTCAAACAATCATCCTCAAACATAGCTCTATCTTTTCAAATTAATCACCAAAAATTTCATACATAGATGTATATCATCAGCCAAAGACTCCTCCTCAAATTTATTTATTTCTTCATCACCACCCAATTGTATTTCATCCAAAAATCGCATGGAAACCAAATCAACTGCACCCCTTCTTCATGTGGCGAAATTCGCAACATTAGCTATCCTTTCAGGCTCAATACCGATCCAAAACGCTGCGGTCATCCCAAATACGAACTTTCATGCGAAAACAATACAACTTCACTATACCTCAACTCTCAAAAATACCTCGTACAATCGATCAACTACGCCAACTACACTATCCGCATTACCGATGCTTCCGTAGTCGAAAACGACACTTGCTCTTTCCCCAACTACTCTCTATCGGGCTCAAATTTTAGTGCCCGGGATTCTTACGGAATTAAAAAATACTCGGGTCCGTGGTATATTTATGGCAGAAAAATCCCCGATATAACATCCGCTATTACTTTCATGAGCTGTCCTAACGGCACGGTCAATACCATCAGTAATAATATTAATAATTCATCACTTGTTCTTTATCAAATTGATGAATATGGTCGTAATTGTGGGGACGGAAGATTTAAGGGGCGTAGTACGTACGTAAAGTTCGGTGCGTGGAACGGTTCGTTCTTGATGGATTCGTGCAGAGTAGATCTCATGGTGATGACTTCGTTGAATATGAAACGTAGCACGTTGTCTAGTCTCTCGCAAGTTCATAGCTGTTTGACGTACGGGTTCGAACTTACGTGGTTCAGTGTGCTATGTGGCGACGACTGTCTTAATTGTTGGTTTAATGGCGATCGTGCTACGTGTTCTGAGGAAAATTGGATTTGTATGATTATTCGTTAATTTTCACTCATCAACTACGTAATTGTTATAAGTAATATAAATTAATTGTTTCAATTTTAAATTCTTGTTCTTCTTACTGAATTCTTGAAAAATGCAGTTCGACTCAGAGTGCCAATTCAGATCTTCAGTATTTTTCTCAGTAAGATTTCTTTAACTCCCTTGTGTTTTTCATTTAATCAAAGTCTTGAATTCATAATTATTGTTGGCGCTTTAAATGTTGCGTTTGAGAAGGTGGGGGATTTTTAACGAATAAAAATACGAGGGTGTTTTTGTAAGAAACCAATCGGGAGGGACTTTATTGGGGAAAAAATATAAATTGCCCGTACCTCGGATAATAATAGATTTCAGGGACTACATCTTACGAGACAAGTGTTTGTGACAAGCCTATTACATTGAGCACTTCCTTAGTATTGTTAACCTTCATTAACTGTACATTTTTCGATTTTTCATTTTTATTTCATGGAGCTGTGAGGCATGCATTAGCATCTGATCAAGATCAGTGGTTTTAAGTTTTGTTTTTCGTGTATTATGTTACTATCCAGCTGGCACTAATATATTCAAGGTTTGGTGCTATCAGCTTATCTATTTCTACCCAATCTAGCACTGAAGATCGTAGTTGGAATGCCATGCGTGTTTGTGCTTCTGATCTATACATTTCGGAGACGGCATTTGTCGGTTTTCGATGCAATAGAATGCTTTCTCCGAAGCAACAACAACCTCAAAACAATTCGCTATTCCTATTCGGACATGAAGAAAATCACTAAAGGCTTTCGGGAAAAACTTGGCCAAGGAGGCTACGGTTCTGTTTACAAAGGAAAACTTCGAAGCGGCCATGATGTAGCGGTCAAAGTACTTGCCAAGCCTAGCTCAAATGGGCAAGATTTCATCAATGAAGTTGCCACAATTGGAAGGATCCATCATGTAAATGTGGTCAAACTTGTCGGGTATTGTGCAGAAAGATCCAAACGCGCCCTTGTCTACGACTTTATGCCTAATGGTTCGCTCGAGAAGTACATATTTAATAAGGAAAAAAGTCATTCACTTAATTTGAAGAGGAAGTACGAGATTGCAATTGGAGTGGCTCGTGGAATTGAGTATTTGCACAGAGGATGCGACATACAAATCCTGCATTTCGACATAAAGCCTCACAACATACTTCTTGACGAAAATTTCACACCTAAAATATCCGATTTTGGTCTGGCAAAGTTTTACTCAACAGATAATACTACAGTGACTCTCACTGCAGTTAGGGGAACAATAGGCTATGTGGCTCCTGAGCTAATGAATAGAAGCATCGGGGGAGTGTCGTACAAGGCCGATGTTTATAGCTTTGGGATGTTGTTGATGGAAATGTTGGGGCTTAACAAAGGGACGGGGCCTAATATTGAAAACAAATCGAGCCAATATTTTCCGTGTTGGATTTATGACCACTTGAATAAAGGCGAAGACATTGAAATTGGAAATGTGTATGAAAATAATGACGATGAGGAAAAGGAAGACGATGATGATGCGCGAAAAATGAGGAGAAAGATGACGATAGTTGGATTGTGGTGCATACAGATGAGTCCAGCCGATCGCCCGTCAATGAGTGAAGTTTTGAAAATGTTAGAAGGTGAAGATGAAAATATGATGATTCCTCCTCAACATTCACAATCATCTGAGATTCCAAGCTATGATGATCAGACTTGGGGAACTGAATCCGAATCAACCGGTTCTGTAGCCTTCCTGCGTAATGATTCTTTAAGTTTTCAATAAGAGTCATAAATAAAAATATGACATTAGTATGATTGTGGTATTTGCTAATATTATCTTTGTTTTTTTTTTTTTTTTTGAGGAAACTAATATTATCTTTGTTGATAGTCCTTTATTTTTGTATAACTCAAATTTTATTTTCTCCAATTTTTTTTTTCTTTAAAATTAATTATATTATATATATAGTAGTTTTTTTTTTTTTTTGAGTAAATATATATATAGTAGTTTTGAGCACTGCGAAGCTATAAATATATATTTATTGCCGGAGGAAATTTGAAATCCATAAAATAAAATGTCATCTCAACTTAGGTTCCCATGACTCTGTCGAAATATCTTTTGCTAATTTAAAAATAGAAAGTCTTGCATTGCAGTTCCGCCAAATTATGAGTTACATATTTAAAAAGTAATTAGCTAAGATTATTATTCATATGTTGAGTAGTGAATGTACATGTAATCTATATTGATCGATTATGGCTGTGTTATTATCCTCCGACTAATTCCAATTTTGTAAATAAATAGGAGTACTTTTATCCTTGTTACGTCAAACAAGGTCTTTAGGATGTCCCATTTCATTCAACAATAACTTTTTTTGGAAAATTAATTTATATACTCAAGCAATAAACTATAAAGCGTTTCGAGCCCGTTTCTATTGTGGAACATACCACTCCTTTTAAACTTTAGTTGGATACCGGCCCACCATATCCATTGTTTATTCAGCCAAGTATTTCGTTAATTTTTCAAATTTTTAAAAGAAAATATGATATACATGATAACTTAATCATGTGCATCAATACATAAAAGTCGTGTAAAAACTCATTTTCGTTTACCATGAAAAACAATCGTGTAAAACGCATTTTGGTTTACCATAAAAATTGTGTAAAACCCCATTTTTTATTACCGGATCCGTGAAAAATTAATTTCCATACTTGAACAATAAACCGTTACGAGTCCGCATTTTGGTTTACCATAAAAATTGTGTAAAACCCCATTTTTGATTACCGGATCCGTGAAAAATTAATTTCCATACTTGAACAATAAACCCCATTCGTATATTTAACATGTATATAAAGAATGACATATAGTATATATACTATATAGCATTAACGAGTATAATTAACCAATAATTCCCCAATTAATCTCAATCGTTTCCAATACTTGCACACATACGGCACGCACATAATGAATCTCAAACCAATATACCTAAATCAATCAAAACGTATAGATAGTAGCACATAATGACTTAAATGAATACTTCATGACCATAACTATAGTTAATTCTATCCTATTATCTTAATATTTATTACCTTAACTCTTCTATTAACTTAGGATGAAGAATTTAAAACCATACTTCTAAACATATTTTCTAGTTCAAAATAATTCATTTTAGAAAATTTGACAGTTTCGGTATTTTAACTTTGAAAATTCACATATCTTAGAACATAAATCCAAACAACCTGAAAGTTTCATAAAATGTTCACCTATAAGTATATTCTAGCTTAAAACAGTTTAGTAAGACACTTAGTGCAGTGACACGGTCAGTTTTCTAGAACAGAGCAATCAACTTAAAAAATACCACTTAATTCATACCTTTAACCAATCACTTTGAAATTTTACAGAGAAGACGTTTAACAAGTCTATAATCATATCCAAGTAAATCACGCTAGTCAAAATAGTATAAAAGTCGTATTAAACACATAATTCATAAATGACTAAGAAACTGTGCAGTTTCAGAAAACGATCCATAACTTAATCAATATAAATCCGATTTATGCATAATTGATATCAAAATGAAGCTAACACAATTTTCTAGACTATCGTAAAATTTCATGATTTTGCCAAAATAACTAACAGATGAAACATGCAATGCAAACAGAGACTACGAATCTGAACTTCAATTAGTGTTCACAAAGATCTTTATCTTTTAAAACCCAAAATTAAAACCACAATAATATAATTCATTAAAACCCATATAATTTATATATATTAGGTTATTATTTCAGTAAAGACCAAGATGTCCTTACCCATGAAAATCAAAGGCTAAGAAGGAGATGAAACCCAGGATCCATGGAATTTTGGCTTGGAAGTCTTTGGGCATGACATGGGTGGTATTGATGAGCTTTGGGGCTGAGTTTTGAGAGATTATATGGTTGGTTCATTGAAGGTGTTAGGAAAATCCCGAAAATAGGAAGAAGGAGGCCTTTTGGGAAGATTTTAGAAGAGAAAAATAAAGACTTTTATGGAGGGTCTTCAAGGCTTTGAAGTGGAAGAAGAGTTCTTCCATTTGGGGAGTATTTGGATGAGATAGAGAGGAGAAAATGAGTGATTTTTGGCTGATGTTTTTGTGCTGAAAATAGTGAAGAGGAAGGGTCAATTTATTGGGGAGTAGGTGGACTTACTTGTAATATAAAAGACAAGAGGTGTAGATTGCAATTAGGGGGATTAAGACACTTGTAAATACACCACAAATCCAACACACACAACCCATACACACGACAATTGTACAACACCCAAGCACATGCACACACATAAGCACATATAAATATTTAATTACAGAATAAAAGATAAATTGAGTGGAACTATTAACCAAATTTTAAAATCTATTATAAGTCAGATAAACACTTATGATTCATGGGATTAACTAATTACTAATCATAAATCCATTAATTAAACTATGAACATTCATGAGTTAACTAATTCAATTAGATTGCATAATAAATTCTAATTCACAAAATTCGGAGGAGTAGAGTCACAGAATCACAAGAATCACTTAATCACGAAATCGAAGTTACTAAATCATTTAATCAAACAAGTACACCTAATTCATAAATATCATAATTTATAAAAATCACTTAAACACTTAGAATGCATTGAAAATTACTAATTAATCCACGAGTGCATATTCATCATTTATTCAAAATAATCGGATTTAATGCATATAAAAAATTAAGGTGCAGCATCTATATATAATATAAAAAGAGGATCTATGCCCTCAATGATTGACATGTGGCAAATGATGATGTCATTTGTCAAAATTGCTTAGTTGGAGTTCAATTGATGAGGTGGATTCTTCAATTGATTAGGTGGCATTTTTATTTAGGGATGTTTTTAAGTTCTTTCCAATTTTGCATTTACACAATCATTTAATAATTACCACATGTATATATATTATTTACAAAGTTAATATTTTATAAATTCAGAATAAAAAAAATTTATTTATATTTTCAGTATTTCAAAATATATTTATTGAAAACAATTCATGAAACTCAATTTTTTTACGAATATTCAAATATTTTTTATAAAAAAAAATATTTTTTAAATACTTAAATATTAAAATAAAGGAATATGTTGTTGTTTTTTTGTTTTTTTAATTTTCAATATTTTGGAATATTCGAATATCCATTCCATTAAAAATAATAATAATAAAATATTTTATTTTTTAATTGAACTATTTAATAAATATACATTATTTTTCGTATATAATTTTTATTATACCATATTTCAAATTAAAAATAATTATACTATTTAATAAATATGCAATATTTTGAAATTTGAAAATTTCACAATTTAAATGCATAATATTTTAACAATTTAAAGCATATTTGTATTTTTCTAAATGTTTTGTGATCTCCAGCCACGTGAATTGATATATATGTTTTCTAAAATTAAAGAACATCAAATAAAATATCAAATCACCAATACAAAGGAATCTTTAATATTTCAAGATTGTTTCATATCATCTTTGATTGATTTAATTTACACTTTAATTCAAAATTCAATGGTAAAAAATAAAAATCGTATCTTCATATTTAATGTTTTTATATTGCAAGATTTTTTTCCCACAAGTTATTATTTTATTTTTTTGGGTTGTTTCCTTAATTTGTTTGATTTGATTTCATTTACTAATATATAAATCTTTTGAATTTTTAAATTTTCCATAGAATTAAGTTCATTTTCAATACTGTAACTTTTTTTTAAACCCCTCAATATTCATTTCATTTTTATCTACCACCA